TTATTGGTTTTCTGAAAGATATATACATTTAATGGGATTTTAAAAAAATGTACATGTTTAGTGTAAGTAAAGCAAGACAGGTAAGCAAAAAGAAGAATATGAGGCTCGGTGCCTGTAGCTCCAGTGGCTAGGGCGCCAGCCACATACACCAGGGTTGGCAGGTTCAAATCCAGCCTGGGCCTACCAAACAACAATGGCAACTACAACCAAGAAATAGCCAGGCATTGGGTGGGTGCCTATAGTCCCAGCTACTTGGGAGGCTGAGGCAAGAGAATGGCTTAAGCCCAAGAGTTTGAGGTTGTTGTGAGCTATGATGCCACAGCACTCTACTGAGGGCGACATAACAAGACTTTGTATCACCCAAAAAAAAAAAGAGAGAGAAGAGGAATATGAAACTTCTCATAATCTGCATTACAGGTAGATCTACTCTGTGTATGTGTATGCTTCTAAACTGGTAGTTCTCAGCCTTGGCTGCACATAAGAATCACCTGGGAGCTCTTGAAGCAGATGCCTATTATTCTGACTTAATCAAATGGAGATAGGGTCTGGCCATTGGATTTTTATTTGATTGATTGATTGATTGATTTTTGAGACAGAGTCTTACTCTGTTGCTCAGGATAAAGTGCCCTGGCATCAGCCTTGCTCAGAACAACCTCAGATTCCTAGGTTCAAGTGATGCTCCTGCCTCAGCTTCCATCACCATTCTGGTTTATGTTTCCATTTTTAGTAGAGATCAGGGTCTTGCTCTTGCTCAGGCCATTCTCAAACTCCTGAGCTCAAGTGATCCTGCCCCCCTGGCCCCCCAGAGTACTGAGATTATGGGCGTGAGCAACCATCGCACCTGCCCATTGAATTTTTTATTTTTTATTCATATTTTTTTTTTGAGACAGAGTCTCACTCTGTTGCCCTGCATAAAATGCTGTAGTGTCACCATAGCTCACAACCTCAAAGTCCTGGGCTTGAACAAGCCTCTTGCTTTAGCTCCCGAGTAACTGGGATTACAGAGCGGTGCCTGTGGCTCGTGAGTACGGCGCCAGCCCCATATATTGAGGGTGGCGGGTTTGAACCCAGCTCCAGCCAAAATGCAACAAAAACATAGCTGGGCATTGTGATGGGCGCCTGTAGTCCCAGCTACTCAGGAGGCTGAGACAAGAGAATTGCCTAAGCCCAGAAGTTGGAGGTGCTGTGAGCTGTGACACCATGGCACCCTACCAAGGGTGACAAAGTAAGACTGTCTCAATAAAAAATTAAAAAATAACTGGGACTGTGTGAACCACAATGCTTGGCTAGTTTTTTCTACTTTTATTAGAGATGGCTTCTCACTCTTGTTCAGGCTGGTCTCCAACTCCTGATTTCAAGCAGTCCACCTGCCTTGGCTTCCCAGAGAGCTAGATTACAGGCATGATCCACGCTCCCCAGGTAATCCTTACTGTATAACCAGTACCTGCACTAGAGTCTAGACTTTTTTCTATGCTTCTACCATATTTTCACAAAATAAGCTCATAGCCTACTATTTCTCTTTAACATATTCTGCAGATCTTCCATAAAATGATTTTTTAAACAGCAGTTGCTAGAAATGGTGAATTTGTTCAAATAAAAGAAATTTAAATAACATGGAACTAGAGATATTAGAAATCTGCATTGAGTAAAAAATGTGAATGTAAATTAACTATTCTCATAAACATCTCAAGTTCAGCATCTACAGGATAATATTTACCTCTTTTCTTGAATATACACATTCATGTGTTCATGTCATGTTGATTCTGGCAAAAATAATCTTGAGTTTTATAAACTGTGTAAAGTTAGTTTCAACCAAAACATCCTATACAAATGCAAAACCCCAAAATTTCATAGATGTATTTTATCATGTCAGAAGCATAATGTGGCTTTTATTTTTTAACAGTAATTAATATGATAACATATTGGTCTATTAGTACTATAATAGTGATATTTTTCTTATATATTATTATCTCAATATGGACAAAATTTTAATGTTGATTATTTGCCATTAAAATATATATTTTTTTAGTTTTGCTTTCAATCTTCTTAGTGTGAAGTTTCCTTTTTTTAATTTTCTCTTTCTTTCTCCCTTCCCTTCCTTTCTTTTCCTTTTCCTTTCCTTATTGAGACAGAGTCTCACTTTCTGGCCTTCAGTAGAGTACTGTGGGGTCATAGCTCACAGCCACCTCCAACTCTTGGGTTTAAGTGATTCTCTTGCCTCAGCCTCCCAAGCAGCTGGGGCTACAGGTGCCTGCCAGAATGCCTGGCTTTTTTTTTGGTAGAGACAGGGTCTCACTCTGGCTTATGCTGGTCTCGAACCTCTGATCTCAGAGCAATCCACCTGCCTCAGCCTCCCAGGGTGCTAGGATTACAAGTGTAAGCCACCATGCCCGGCCTAAAATATTTTTTAACATAAGACATTTGCACACATTTAAACTTCTTTTGTTTTTGTTTTCGAGACGCCCTACTCTGACATTCTGGGTAGATTGCCATGGCATCAAAGCTCCCAGCAACCTCAGACTCCTGGGTTCAAGCAATTCTCTTGCCTCAGCCTCCTAAGTATCTGTACTTACAGGTGCCTGCAACCATGCTCAGCTAGTTTTTCTATTTTTAGTAGAGAGTGGGATCTCACTTTAGCTCAGGCTAGTCTCAAACTCCTGAGCTCAAGCAATCCACCCTACTGGGCCTCCAGATTGCTAGGATTACAAGCATAAGCCACTGGGCCTGGCCTAAATGTTTTCTTGTAAAACAATCTTAAAACAAATTAATGGTAAAACTATACTATACTTTCAGGGATCATTTCTATAGTTCGTTACTACAGAAGTCTTTCTGAATGTGTAGAGCACTGGAAACCACCAGGAGGAGGCGCAGCGTTCTCTCCTGAGCACGAAGCCATTCTTGGTATTGCTTTCTGTAATTGCCACTTGCCATTGCTGATCATTTTTCTCTCCCTTCGGGGGAGTAAGAGGGAGAGAAGCAGTCTGAGTGGTTCCGTGTTTGAAAATAAACAAAATAACAAAAAAAAAAACACAACAAATTAATGGTGATTGCTGTTTATTGTTTCTGGTAACAAATGCTATCTTTCTCCCTTCCCTTCCCCTTTCCCTTCCCTTCCCCTTCCCTCCCCTCCCCTCCCTTCCTCTTCCCTTCTTTCTTGACAGAGTCTTACTCTGTGGCCTCAGTAGAGTGCTATGGCATCATAGCTCACAGCAAGCTCAAACTCTTGGGCTCAAGAGATCTTCTTGTCTCAGCCTCCAGAGTAGCTGGGACTACTTGGCCTGCACCACAATGCCTGACTAGTTTGTTCTATTTTTCGTAGAGATGGGGTTTTGATCTTGCTCAGGCTGGGCAAATGCTATCTTTTATTTTCCTTATAGAAATATAACTTATCTTCTCATACATTATGAAGGACTGCTTTATCAAAAATATTCTCAAACAACAATAGAAGTTTCAGCAAAGGAATTTTTCACAGTTCACTTTTACCTTGTAGAGGTTGAAAATAGTTTTCAGATATTTTTCAGCATTGCTATGAAATATATTGTTGTTTCATTAGTGGTTTTATTATGTGGGTTAAAAAAAAGTTTTGATTTCCTCCACAGTTCATAGTTCTCAGAATAGACGTATTTCTGAAAACTTTATGGGTTGAGATATTTTGGATAATTAACATTCTTTAATAGACAAAACCTCTCAATGAAACTGCAATAAATGTGCATCTACATACTTAGCTGTATTATGAGTATATTCTGGAATCAAAGCAAGATGATCTTCCCATTTCCATAGTCTATTTAATTGTTTTAAAATCTTAACATTTTCATCATAGTTGGCATTGCATTTTATAAAATGACAATTTAAAGTCAGTTGGAACTAATTTATTATATATTCTGCATTTACTTTTGAGTAATGACTTTATAAAAAGCAACAACAATTCAACATAGCAACAAAGTGAGATTTTTTTTCCTGTAAATTACTGGTGAACATAAGAAAACAATCTAACCCAACCTCAAAAGGGCTACAAATTCACTTATGTTTCTCTTCCTCTACACATTGAAGCTGCACTCAGTTAAATTGCTGTTGAACAGAACTTATGTTGTTGTTTCATGCTTATGAGAAGCCTCAGAAAAACAGCCTCTATATTCTTATCATGGGTTCTCTGTCTGTGGTAAAACAGAACCACTACAGTTAAGCAAATATGTTCAGCTATGAGAAATAATTTTTTAAGCAGTGGCCTCTACAAGTCATGCAATTTTCTTTATTTGCCAAGTCACAGCCACAACGTCTAGTGATTTTTTTCCCACTAACAAGGACTTGGAAAAAAATGACAAACTTTCTCTTTTTAATCCTTGAGCTCGGGCTCAGTCTCTTAAATCATCTTTCTTTACTTAAGAGTCTGGGACCATAAATATTGTCATTCAAACATGACTGCTCCATCAGCCGGTATTACTCTTGCTTCAAGTAGCATCTGTTGGGCCTATGCCAGATAATTTTTTATAATGGAATATTTTCCCACTACTTTATATTTTGAGATATTTGGAATAATCGTACTTTAATAGGCAAATTCTCTTAAAACTTGTGTCATTATTTATTTAATCCTATAACCTGGAATTGGGCATATACCTTAATACCAATTCTGATTAGATAAATTATAATAACTCTAAACATATTCCTATATTCTAAAATACATTCCCTTAAAGTGAATTGCTAGGTTATATTATTATATATAATCATTTGATAGGATAAAAGGCACCTTATTGTTTTCATTTGCACTTCTTTAATTACTAGTAAATTTGAACATTTATTTCCATACACTTATTGGCTGTCTATATTTCTTCCATCGTAAATTGCCTGTTCATGGCCTTTGCCCATTTTCTATTTGAGTTATTCATCTTTTTCTTATTGGTTTTTTTAGAAATATTTATTTAGGGCAATTAGGTATGGTACAAGTAAGATTCTGTAACAAAAAGTTACCAAAATAGAATGACTTAAAAAACAGAAGTTGTTGGCTTGGTGACTGTAGCTCAGCAGTTAGGGTGCCAGCCACATAGACTGGGGCTGGTGAGTTTGAACCCAGCCTGGGCCTACCAAACAACAATGACAACTACAAGAACAAAAATAGCCGGGTATTGTGGTGGGTGCCTATAGTCCTAGCTATTCAAGAGACTAGGCGAGAGAATTGCTTGAGCCCAGGAGTCTAAGGTTGCTGTAAGCTATGACGCCAAAGTATTGTACTGAGGGTGACAAAATGAAACTCTGTTTCAAAACTAAACTAAACTAAACTAAACAAATAAACAAAAAGAGAGGTTATTTCTCATGTAACCATTCTGAGGTGAGCAGTCCAAATTAGTAGGATGGCTCTGCTGCACATGATCTATCAGAAACTGGGATTTCTTTCATCTTTTTGCTCAACTATCACTTAGGTTGCTGTTTTTGTCTGCATGGCTGAGTATAGGAATATCAGTACTCTAGCTCCTAGAAGAAGCATGGAAGATACGTGTGTATACAGTTTTAGGGCCAAGACCCACACATAGCAAACTTAACTTATTTTCATCTAAGTGAGAACTTAGATATAGCCATATCATACCTAGATGCAAGGGACGATGAGCTTATATTCTCTAGTTGCGTAGCTATTTCTCCAACTATGTCTCTCTTCTATGGAATAGATAGAGAATGTATTCAAGTATATATAACAGGTGGCATCTGCAATAATGGGTTAATTTTCATTTGTAAAAACCTAATATTTAGAGCCCAGTGCGGTGGCTCACGCTTGTAATCCTGACACTCTGGAAGTCCAAGTCAGGTGGATTGCCTGAGCTCACAGGTTCGAGACCAGCTTGGGCAAGAGTGATACCCCACCTCCAAAAATACCCAGAGTTGTGTTGGGCACCTGTAGTCCCAGCTGCTTGGGAGCCTGAGGCAAAAGAATCAGTTGAGTCGGCTCGGCGCCTGTGGCTCAAGCGGCTAAGGTGCCAGCCACATACACCTAAGGTGGCGAGTTCAAATCCCCAGCCTGGGCCCGCCAAACAACAATGATGGCTGCAACCAAAAAAAATGGCCAGGCGTTGTGGCGGGTGCCTGTAGTCCCAGCTACTTGGGAGGCTGAGGCAGGAGACTCGCTTGAGCCCGGGAGTTGGAGGTTGCTGTGAGCGTGATGCCATGGCACTCTACTCAGGGGGATAGCTTGAGGCTCCGTCTCAAAAAAAAAAAAAAAAGAATCAGTTGAGTCCAAGAGTTTGAGGTTGAGTGAGCTATGATGCCACTGCACTCAACCAAGGGCGACAAAGTGAGACTCTGTCTCAAAAAACAAAAACAAACAAACAAAAAAAGCCTCTAAGATTTGTCTAAAGCCTCACTTTTCTCTGGGAAATATTCCATAATTTCTGTGGCCTATCAGAATATAATGAATTACTCCTTTTTCTATGCTGACATTTTACCTTATGCATGCACCTACAATTGTACAAATATAATGCTGCTATTTAATTACATATTCTTCTTTTCCCACTAGAGTTATGAGCTTCTTGTGAGACCGTGGCTTCCAGTCTTATTCATGCATTTCTTTCACCTACCTCCTGACAAAATGTCTAGCATACAATAAATATTCAATAAGTGTCTTTGAATGAATGAATGAATAAAAAGTTGCTTTTTATTTAAAGCGCTTCACATCTTTTTTTTTTTTTTTTTGAGACAGAGTCTCACTATGCCACCCTCAGCAGGGTGCCGTGGTATCACAGCTCACAGCAACCTCAAACTCTTGGGCTTAAGCAATTCTCTTGTCTCAGCCTTCAAAGTAGCTGGGACTACAGGCACCGGCCACGATGCCTGACTATTTTTTGTTGCAGATGTCATTGCTCTTTAGCTGGCCCAGGCTGGGTTTGAACTTGCCAGCCTCGTTGTATACAGCCAATAACATAACCACAGTGCTATGGGCACTGAGCCTAAAGCACTTCATGTCTTGAAAATGCTTTATATAAATATTATTTCACTTGACCCATATAAGAACTCAAAGAAGAAGCAACTATTGAACATAAGAGATATTAATTCTCCAAGGTCAGATAGCTAGTAGGGTCTAATATCAAGACCAGTTCTTGTGTCACTGCACTAAATATCAGTTTTTTTGTTTTTATTTTTGAGACAGAGCCTCAAGATGTTGCCCTGGGTAGAGTGCTGTGGCATCACAGTTTACAGCAACCTCCAACTCCTGGGCTTAAGTGAGTCTCCTGCCTCAGCCTCCCAAGTAGCTGGGACCACAGGCACCCGCCACAACGCCCGGCTGTTTTTTGGTTGCAGCAGTCGTTGTTTGGCGGGCCCTGGGTGGATTCGAACCTGCCAGCTCAGGTATATGTGGCTGGCGCCTTAGCCCCTTGAGCTACAGGCACGGAGCCTAAGTCCCAGTTTATTAAGATGTTACCCACGAGTGGATTTGCATTTTTAAGTAAGATGAAATAGATCATGGCAGCAGAATGCTCTTGTGCAAGAAAAAGCAAACTGGATAAATTATAAAAGTCACATTTTTCAGAAACCAGAGAGCTATGAGAGCAATCCAGACTAAATGAATTGGCATTCCAGAGGGGAGGGAAGTCCTACCATAGTAAGTTGATAATCACCTACTGTTTTTTTTTTCATTAAGGCATTTGTGAATCTAGGTACTGAAGGAAGATCAGACTTAATAGTTATATGGTGGGACTCTGATGGAGAAAAGAGAAACCAGTGAAGCTTTGTGCAAGATTGGCAGGAAAGATTGGAAATTTGAGGAGCTGCAAACCTGGACGGCTTCAACATGGAATATCAACTGAGTTCTAGGCTTGTAAAAAAAAAAGCTAAAAGACTGGATTTAAAAAGGCAGAATGAAATCTGTAGTTGTTCATTGCCTAGGAGACAAACTCCTGTGAGAGAGAAGGGATCTGCTTTAAATACATAGCTGGACTCCCCCTCAAGACATTTGTCATATTTGAAGTTTTAAGGAAATGAGGCTAAATAGGTAAGCTAGGAATCTCAA